GACGCGGCGGGGGCTGCAGCCCCACAGGCGGCGGGGCCAGGGGCAGGGCCAGCGCCTGCAGCTGGGACAGCTGGTGGGCTTGGAGCTGCTGCTGCAGGGGGAGGGGGCAGAGTCAGCCTCCGCCCGGCACCTGCCCGCCCAGCAGCCGCAGGCCCGCCGGACCTACCCGGATGATGGAGTTCAGCTCCGGGGCGGTGACCTGCTTGGCCCGCTCGATGGCTCCTAGCACCTGCTGCTGGTGCTGCAAGGGGGCAGGAGAGGGGGCAGGGGCTGGGGTGGGCCCTTCACCCCACCACGGCCTCTTCCCTTCACGGAGCCTCAGTCTCGGCACTGGGCAAATGGGGCGAAGGGGGAGACGCACAGAAACACCGACAGGGTGCTGGAAGCTAGGGGAGGCCCTTGGGGGTTCCTGGGGACCCTGGAGCAGGACCGAGTGCACGCGCAGAACCACACGCAGCCACATGGAGGCCAGCCCGCTCCCCGGACCAGAGGCTGTGCTCGGGGACTGCCATGGGAGTCCTCCCGCAGCGGCCCCGAGAGCCCTGCCCTCCTGCCCTCCGGCCCTCTCCCCTGTACCCCGGCTCTGGAAGTGCCTGAGGGACAAGTCTGGGCTCAAGTGCTCCCTCTGGAGTCTCACGTCCGCTCTGGCGGTGAGGTGTGGCCGGCTGGCAGAGGGAGTGACCGGTGAGGACGTGCCCCTGACGGGCGCAGGGCAGCTGCGGTGACACTGGTGTGCGGGGGCAGGGCTCACGCCAAGTCTCGGCCCGGTGAACGGAACAGGACGAGGCGGCGCCAGTGCCCACGTGCACGCCCGCACGCTTCCACACTGCACACGTGTGGGCCACCTGTGTGCGCCTGTGCACGCGTCCTGCCAGGGGTGGGGGGCCCTGCACATCCCTCCCGGGGCGCCCGGGGCCAGGGCCACTGCTCACCTCCTGCGACAGGTAAGGCAGGACCTGGGCACAGATCCCGTTCAGCCTCTTGACGATCTCGGCCTGCAACACACAGCGTCAGGGAGGCCAGGAGGGCGTGGCGGGGGGGGGGGGGGGGGG